TCTGGTTTCAGGAGAGGGCTCGTCTCGGTCTACTCTCGAGGTTCGTAGTGCCGACACCAAACGGGTAGGGCGGGGAACTGTTACTGTCGACATGCCCAGGTGTGGTTACTGTAGGTGGTCAAATACAGGGAGGAGGATGAACAGCGTGCCCCGGAGTCGAGCGAGCCGCTACTGTGAGGGCCTTAGTCCGAATTCTCACATGCCTTGCTTGTGGCTGGTGTTATTCCAAGGCTCTTGTAGCCGCCCATGGTTGTCACTAAATTACCTTCGTGTTGTGTTGAGTGTCCATGAAGGGACCTAGCTCTTATCGGACAAGGTGTAACATAACAGTAGGTATACTACTACTACTCGGGAGTGTCAGACTGTATATCGGATAGCTCAGTGCTTTTGTATGGCCCCACAACAGGTCATGCCGTTAGGTCGAGGAGGTTTAGACTATAGCTACGTCTCCGATCGTCAGATGCCTCCGCCGGTATCATCATCGGCAGCGGCCCCGGAGTCGCCCCCTCGTGGGGTCGGCGCGATGGGAGGGCCGCCTCCACCACCACAGGTGAGTGGAAATCTTTAGTTTGAGCGTACTGGATATGAGTTAGGTTCACTGATTGTGTTTTTCTTTGCTGTAGATACCACATGCGGATGACATGCCAGCCCACGGTGACTATATGAGAGCGCCCGTCCCTCCTCCTCAACGGCAGCCCTATCCAGCACAGGGCATGCGCGTGCAGTACAGCCAGCAGGCTCCCGACAGAGACCTGGCCGCATCGAGGGACTACCGACCGAGACAACAAGAGGTAGATACTCTAGCGAGGACTATAAACATCGACTCGATTACACGCTTATCTCTACGGGACTGTTTGACTATCTCGTGCTTACGAGAGGGGCTCTATTTCATCAGTTGACGCTTGATAAATGCTCACCATTGTGATGAATGTACGACTCGTTGAGCTACGCAAGAGGGCTCTTGTGGTGGATTCCTTATACGTCGTCATACACACTGTTGATGTTGGTAGATAGATGAGTCATTAAGACGAGACCTACTCCGTTACATCTTCGAGCAGACATCCAATGTTCATGTTCACAATGAGGAATGTACGGCAGCTCTAATGCAGTGCTTGACACAGATGCTCAATGCTCTTGAAGTCGGCATCCATGTAAGTGAAGACGCCCCTTTATCACCTTGTGGGGTCCATTTTATGATACGACTCGGATGCTGCTGCTCCCACGTTGGCTGGAGTGATATCGTCAACTCTTCAGAAAACGGAAGGGCGTGTGATCGAGAATATGACGTATAGTGCTGAGCTCCAACATGACATCGGCAAATGCCTGTCGAAGCTTGACGTGAGTTGGCT